CCCTTTTTTTTTCCCGCCTCCATCTTCAGCAGCAGAAAAAAACTACTTTTTTTAACTAGCCGCAAAAACCGCAAAATGCTAGATTTTTTTTAACCACAAGATTTCTCATAAAAAACTTTGTTTGCGCAGACGTTTTTTCCGTATAATTGTCTAAATTCTATTTATTTAAGAAAATTGGTTTTATCTCGTTAAGAAATGAAACGATTATTTTTCTTTACGTACAGACGTAATTTTTCTGAACACTTTTGTTAACATATATATTCAGATTATCACATTTATTATAAGTATTTGGGATTTTAGAGTAGAAAATTCTTCAGAAAATGGTCTTTCATATTAAATATTTTTCTTCATGATAAATGGTTTTGCAGTTTGATAAAATATTCTTCTACAGGCATTATGGGACGCATATATTTTCCGTCACTTTTTCAAAAAATTGGTGACAACAACTATAAAAGATTTCAAAAATTGAAATAATCGTAATTCTTTATTTTCCTAAAAACATAACACTTTTACACTATTTGCAGCAACTGTTTTATTTTCCGCGTGTTTACAGTCCGATCCTATAACAGACATGTAAATAAGGCGCTTGAAGCCCATTTTATTAACTGCAGTGATGTATTTTAATTTCTACAATTAAATATGCTATCAAAATAAAATAAAGTTATCAAGAAATGTTTTTCTAAGCCTTCAAATGGCTGTTTTGTTAAGTAATTCTTAAATGACTGATTAAATTCGAAAGATAAAACATTTCGCTGGCGAAACACGCAGAACTGCTTATGCTCGAGGCGTGTGAAAATAAATTTAAATACTTAATTTTTTCCCTCGTAATTACGGCAGCAATACTTATCGAAGTGAATGGATGATTCGTCCATGGCAGAGTTACGTAACTTAATATAACGATCCAAAAAGTTTGGCAAATCTTTTAATATTTTTCTACAGTCTCAGAAGAGCAGACGAGGAGGAAAATTTGAATTTGAATTCAGGTCCAAACGATAACAATTTTTTAAAATTATTGAGAAACAAATAAATAGTTAAAGTAGAGTTACATGCTGTCATTGCGTAATGTTTAAAGCAGAAATGAATAACATAGAGTCTGCCCTAAAAGAACAAAATAAAAGATTTAAAAAAAAAAAAAAACTCTGTTTTGCTTAATGTACGAAATAATTTCGCAGATTCTGTTCTAAACATGCGGGATCACTGGCGATCGAAAACTGACTTTGAAGTTGAACATATTGTTAAGAATTTTGTACGTATGTAAATAATTTTAGTCAAATGGTATGTGAATTTACAGTATCTTTTGTACAATGTAACATGAAAGGTCTGAAGAGACGAAGTTCTTCCAGAAAAATAAGAATACAGTTGAAAATCCATTTAATACTGAGTAAATGGCTATCTCGCTAAACTGGCACTATATCGCCAAGCTAGCGATGTTTTTGGAGACTTTGTCGCCAAATTGGGCGAGAAATCGCCAAAAGTCGTCAAAATTGGCGATATTTTGGTCCGGTCTCTATATAACTATAATAAGTATTGTGATTGAATAACTGTAATTAATCTTAAAAGTAACTGTAAATGAATCCGGCTCTCAAATGCCTTTCAGTAATTTTCAGAATCCTTTTCAAGTATTAACGATTTCTTGGCGGCCGAGGGGAACTTTATAAGACCAGGAAGAGCATCAGTTTCTCAGTTGCTGTTTAGTTCAGCGTGAATTCGGAGTATTGAGATATCTCCGTGTGAGCTTCGCTCTTTAGATGGGCTTTGCGTTGCGTTGTGTTTAACACTATTAGTAGTTTGAAGCGTAAGTAATTATTGCAGTCTGTGAAATTCTGAAGAGTTATACGAGTATTTTCGTGGAAAGTTCCAGAAGTATGAATTGTTCCTTTTGGTAAAATAAATTTTATACAGCTATCATCAATTCTGTGTTCATTCAATCTATTACAACCCATACGCACGAAATAATATAAAACGGAATAACAAAACCGTTCTCTAAGATCAGAGATTAAATCATTGATTACAAAGTTTAGTCCTAGACGGAACTAACTAGAAACAGTAGAAACAGTTAAGACTAACTAGAAACAGTTAAGACTAACCAGAACTAACTAGAAACAGTTAAGACTGGCTCCTGATTTCTCCATATCTCATGAATATCATGCATATAGTAAGAGGTGTTCCTGGTCAATGAAGTTATGTCGCTAAAGTCTCCTGGCGATAGCAATTCTTTAAGCGATTCCGTAAGGGAAAGGATATAAAACGAGGGAGAGTGATCATTGTCACGTGGGCGGCAGCGGACCATCTGATTGGTTGAAGAAATCCAGTACAGTTCTGAAATGATATTTTTGCATGGGAAATAAACTACAAATTAAATATAAAAATGCATTGAAATAAATAAAAATTCAATCATGCGTTATTTACAATATGTACAGCCCAGATTTCATAAACCCAAGTGGGTAGAACAGCAACCAGCAAAAGTTAAGACATAAAACTTCATTACACATGAAGAAACTCACGAAACCCGTATATAGAGAGACTGTTCGTAGTCATTTTAAACCAGTGTTCAACGGTAAAGTTCATTTGCCCATTGGTGGGTAAGAAATTAATTACTCATTGGAAACTAGTTAGTAATCTTCATGTGATATGGAGTTCTTACCACAGATATAAAAATCTTCCAGTCAAGGAACGGCAGTGTTCCGGATTCTCCCCATTAAGCACGTTTGTCTTTAACGTTTATGAGTTATTAGATTATGGCAAAGTGCATTACTGTTATCTACCTAGAGGGCTGCCTTTGTGGAAGATCTTTATGAGAAAGTCTTTCGTATGTACGTTGCACAGAAAAAAATTCAGGAAAATGTTTATGCAGCCAGTCCACCTGTCATGATAGGGATCTGGATTAAACTACCGGTGGTCAACGGTCTTATTCCCTAGATAGTTGATGAGTTCTCATTTGTCTCCAAGTTCTAATTTTTTCAGCTTATTCACTTGTACAGATCACGTTTAAGTTTCCAACTTGTTATTTTATATTAATTCACTGTCCTATCACTCTCATTTCCCTTTTCCTGCCAGAATGTGAATTTCTAGCTCGCGCGATATTCAAATGAAGTAAAAAGAAAAGGCTATTTAAAGGAAGGTTTGAGAGGGCAGAATCAGGGCGTGTTCTGCCTGCTTGAAGGCCATGTTGCTAATTTGATTTTCTTACGAATTTCTGCGGCGTTGAGTTATTTCCGCCAATAGGCTTGTTACGCCGTCCTTAGGTCAGAGATAGCTTGAGCGCTATCCTAAGTGAGCAGCCGTTAGCTAACTTTCTTTCTTACTTCTAGTTAATCCATTATCATCTTTGATTTAAGCCATAAGTGTTGGCTTCTGTAATTCCGAGTTCGTGCCGTCTGTTAAACTTTTATGTAATTTAAATAAAAGGGTCCTTTACACTCCTGTGGTAGTTACAAGACATAGTCAAATTTCACTTACGTCTTTTAGAGTTTTAGTCTAGTTTATGATACCTAAGAAGATGAAATCTATACACTATTTTACTAGAATAGCTTATTTAACTTTAATTGTTATTATTATTATTTAACATCTAAGTAACAAAATGGTATTGATGCTAATTTTTAAAGCAAAGATATTCCGAGTGTACTATAATAAATAATTAATCAAAATTTCAATAATTACTTTCAGAGTGTAATATTTTACACTATAAATCGTAATTGCTAGCTTTATCCTGTATTTGTAATGTGTTTTTACTTTTTATTTGTTCCTCACTCCGCTATTTAAGATCATCCTATATTCATAAATATGCTACTTTGTTAAGAACGCTACTTTTTACTGCATATATTTAAAGCTCTGTTTTATATTAAGCGTCTTCCGCACGTAACTGGAAATTTGTCAAATCAAAATGATTTAAGATGTTCCCGAAGGAAATATAAATTCTGTCTTTTAAGTTACATGAAAATACAGTAGGTATTTCTCTATATAAAATAAAACTTTGCATAACGTCAGTTTATATTACTTTTCTACAAGTTCAAACAACATAACAAGCCACGTACGCTTTATAAAATGTACAAGTTCTTCAATTTCATACCGACAAATTGCGAAATATATAGAGAAATACAATAGTAAAGACATCTTGAGAAACAAACCGAATGTCTTTTCGACTTATTCTATCATATATCTTTTCCTTTCTTCTCAGTTCTGCCCATTTGTAGGAATTACGTGACATGCCGAATTAAATAAACGTTTCTCAAAGCTAGCTAGTTCTGATTTATAGTTTTCACAGTTCCCAGATAAGATGAAAAGAAGAAGCAATTCGTCAACCGATATTTAAACTATAATAAAACTCCCTAAAATTTAGACAAGTTTCTTAAACTATCCTTAAAAGAGATATCACTTGAATTTGGTGAAAGAAGAACTAATTTCTTGATAAGCCAGTCTTTCGTTGAAATGAAAATACCATCAGAAGTTCCTTTATGTGGTATCTTTCATTACATTTAAAGAAATGCGTTATCTGTCTAACATGGGACTCTTGTATCCGTGGATGGAAATGAGAAAGATCTAGAATGTTTCTGGGCACTTTTTGTTTCTTTTTCATTCTTTTTTGCGTTCTTCTCTCTCCCCCGACTTATGTGATTATAAGATGGTTTATGTCTTGCCTAAGGGCTGCGAGTGTAATACGTGCTTTTAACACCAAATGTAATACTTATTTATTGTTATTTGAGGAGTGATATGTAAGCTATACTACTTTTTTGTAGGAAATTGGTAAAGTTAGCATCGAAGCCGCTACCAGTACTAGATAACGTAGCAGGTGAATCTTCAGTTTTCCGTAACGCCCATTTTTTATGCAGTTTTTTGCCTCGTGCGTTTAAAAAACCTAGAAGATTTCGTTTGGGCCGCTCAAAACGAACTCAGAGGAGGTGTGTCCCACATTTTGACCAATCTGCAGCCTGCTCGAGTCAAGGTCGTGGGCGGTCAGAATGAAACGCGCTTTTGCCGCTGCCAGAAAGAAACCCGCGTGTTTTTACGACGGACGTCTTGAAAAACAAACCATCTGATTGTTTGATGCGACGTTTCTCTTCCAGATAGATTAAAATTGACTCCCGCTCTGCGGGATATTGACGTAGGAACACTGAAGTTGTCCAGTCAAAACAATTTTAGTGCGAACATTATCGCTGACGGCTTCTAAAACAGCTACAGCTTTCTCACTTGCTGATCTTTTTAAACTTTACCGCTTTCGTTTGCGGACATGTTCATTTCACACACGCGCAGTTGCTATTATGTCTCTACAGAAGCTGCATTATTAAAACTTCCGTGAATTGCTTCAATTTACATTGCATTAAAAAATGTGAAAAACTATTTATATTTAAAAACGAAAAAGCAAATAAGTAATAAAATTAAACTCTAAATTATTTGCTCTTATTTAAATAGTGGTTAACACACATTAAAGATAATGAAGATCTTATTAGTCGTTCTCGTTGTTTTCGCATCGGTAGATGTGAACTCTGGGAGAAGACGCCGGTCTCAGAGTTGCAAAGAAAAGATGGATTTTAGTGCAAGTATGGTTTTTACCGGAACTGTGCAAAGACTGTACCGCTCAAGAGCAGCATTGTACCGAGGAGTGGTAAAGGTGAAACGGGTACTGAAAGGGGATTCAAGTTTTGCCGATAATACCATCATTGTTGAAGGTTTTGGTGATACGAATATATGCAATAGTGATGTTAGAGAAAGGGACACGAGGATATTTCTTGTGAGTTTGCTGGAAAATGGTCATCTGAGACTAAATTCCAGTGTCGTGCGGGTCAGTTTGTCGAATTTGGACAGAGTTGCTGCTGCCGTGAAAGGTGAGTTAATTGGGATAAAAAATTATTTAAAAACTGAATCGAGATAAAATTTATTTTAAAGATATTCCAGACGACAGTAGAATTATTTATTCGAATTACCTATTTATTATTTGTGAACTGTTAGCATTTTATTAAACGTAAATTTTATTATTAACATATTTTTATTATCTAATGACTATTTTCATTTATGCAGTTTAGAACAGAATTTTTGAATAACGTAAAATTTGCCAGTGATTCCAAGCTTTTGGTTTAAGAGCAGTAACAAAAACAATGTTTTATGTCTCCTTTCTCCTAAAAAACTACTTCCCATATTTTTATTTATTTTAAAGTAATTTAAAACAGGTAAAAAATGTGGTAAGGATTTTAAATTAATTTATATAACACTTTCTGAGGACAGTGTTTTTCCCCCTTGAGTACTGAGAAATAGGTTAAAATGGAATTCTGAATCAGGTTAAAAGGTTGAAGAAGTAAATTTTGAACTAGGTTAATTAAGTTGAAAGGTTTTGAAAACATGTCTCGCGACTAAAAATGGGTTTATTCTCATAAAAAAATACTTTAAGTTGGAAAGCTATCAGATTATTCTTTTATAAATAAAACTTTCTAGACAACCCACTATTTGGGAGTTAAATGAAATATTTCTGTCTAGTTAAAATTATAGAAGTTTTGTTGGGAAAGTGTTCGAAAATCGAATATTTGAAGCCTAATTGTTCACTGTACTTTATAATATTTCACCAGAATTATTTTAACCTCATAATTCTGACAAAATGAAGACGTTAAAGAGTTTATTAAAACCAATCGTAATTTTCCCATTTAATTAGATTCAAATTCACATTTAATTAACAGTGCAAAATTGTTTACTTTTTAATTATTTATTTTCATTCAAGATTTACTTTTATGCTTTATTTTACTGAGACAGGTATGTTTTGATTATGTAAGACATACTAAGCAAAGCTCAGAAATGCCCATCTCTGAATATAATATTGTATTGTATTATCTTTCTAAGATTTCTTATAATTGTAGTATTAGAAATTGAATAATTTGAGATGATAACAATTTTCTTTTATTTATTTAAATCTCAGTTTCACTCGCTTGTTACTAGAGTGATTTATATTCTTGGCTCTCCAGATATAGTTGTGAGATTCATTATTTATATCTTTGGGTGGAACTTTACAACGGCACGGAAATTGTTTAAATCTTAAGTTCTAGTTTTAAGTGATTTTAGGTACATGCATGAGATTGTAGAGACATTAAGTATTTTTGGAAGCAGGAGAATTGAAAAATTAGCAAACGCTTTCGCCGAGAATCGAACCACAGACCTCTGGAATATAGGCCCAGCGTGCAGAACCATTACACCCCAAAAGCACGCTAGGAAAGCGGGAGAAATACCTTATATACTCACCGTTTTAAAGGGCGACTGGGGTTTTCAGGGGACCCAATCGCCAAATCCTGGGCGTGGAGAATCCTCATCCAACACCCTTTTAGTTCTACTGTAATTACACATTAGGTACTTTTTGGAGGCCGGAGAGATGTCTAATTAGCAACGCCTTCGGCGGGAATCGAACCACGAACCTCTGGAATACCGGCCCAACGTGCAGAACCACTACACCACAAAGGCACGCTAGGAAAGCGGGGGAAATACCTTATAAGATGAGAGTGTAACAAAGAGTGGTAGGTAAGATGCAAAGCTGTTTCTACATATGCATAACCTTTGCGCAATTTTCCCCTTCCTCAGTACCTTCAGAGAAAGAGCTTCCCTAAATGGGATTCGTCCAAGTAATGATTGTTTTCGTCTACTAACAAAGACAAGCCCTCGCAAAACTACCTGCGAAGGTCATGCCGAAACTTTCCCTTCTAGCTGTTGAACTTTATACCAGCCCACTGCAAGAATCAACCCATCACGGAGAAGCGAACACGAACTGACTTCATTCTACAATTTCGCAGAGTCAACTGCACATACACTTGCTCTAATTATTTATGCATGGTTTGAGGCGTAAGGAATAGCAGAGACAACAATATGAACGGGAGCGATTCAAGTTAGAGGAAAGCAGAAATGAAGATATCTTGTTAGATACTGTAATGTTAATTTTATTATGTATTCTTGTTGGAATGTAGGCTTCTTTTAAAGAAATAATTTTGTGAGAGTCACCTGTAGTTTATCTATGACTGCTTTTCATTTGTTATATTCTGATTATAATCGTGCCCTTCTCATATTAAATTATTCTGCTAAGTTCCTCCTTGATTTTCAGAAGATAAATATTAGTGAAAAAAATGGAGGGAATACCAGAAGAAATGCAGTTTATCAATATAATAGTTGTCAGTTAGAAAGTTTAAACACTTTTAATGAAGATAAAAGTAAATTGACAAAATTTTTGCCGATACGTTTCTTTTAATTATTTAAGGTATATAAAAAGAACATTCAGTATTTTATTTATTTAGAAATGGTTGTTATTTTATCATGCCTTTTTTATTTGAAGTTATGATGTAGTACACGCATCGGAAAATTAAAAAATTGAAACGATTCCTGGGAAAAAAAAAAAAAAAAATGAGTGAAAATTCTTATTTTCAATACAACCTTGCAATACATGAGCGACTTTTATAACACAATTTCATGCAATCAAACGCAAGAATTTCTCGCAATTAAGAACTTCCTGCTAGAAAATGCACAAAAAGGTATTAACTAATATTTGTTAGAAAATTAAATTATCCCAGGAAACAAACTTTAGTTTTTGCGTTATAATTATTATGCAGTAGCATTCTTAAGGAAGTAATTTTTTAACTGCGGTTATTCATTTCTAGATGATAAAGATACAAAAAATATACGTTTTTTGCTTAGATTTGAACCCAAGACCTTATGTTCCGTGCAATGTGTCCATTTTTATTTTTTGCGCTGGTTACTTGTTTCGGCAGACAGTTCCAGCTTGAAGTTGTGAACTTTAACGACGTTAGCACTTCTAACTAATTACACATTTCAGTCTGATGCTTCCTTGGAGTTTTCTAATCCAAGGAATTATAACTATTCTCAAGCTCAAAAGAACTGTAACTCAACTATTTGGAATAAACCGTGTCTCATCCCAGAGAGACGGTTGGAATGATCCTTTTCCGTCCTAGAAACTCAATGGGTGACACTGCAAAGCTTGAGTTTTGATGTGGCCCTACAGCCACTGTTAAAGTCATTGTCTTGGTTAGGATCTAAAGGCAGAAAATTATTGCTCTAAACGATCAAATAATTTTACCCATTGAGCTACCGAATCCATCAATGGTTCCTAATAATTTCTTCTTAAAGATGAATTATATGTTTTTATTTTTATGGTAGGATATGTGAAAAACATTAGCAGTTCAAGTTATGTAATCTGACTAGTGAAAATAATTTTATCATGACATGATATGGGTATTATTAACATTTAAAGCTTTGTAATCTGGCCAGCTTGCTTTTCAGTACTATATTTAATTTTTTAACTCCCTTTTGCACAGAATTATTAATATTTTTTTTTAATATTACATTAACAATAAGGATACAGAGAGCGAAACTTTCAGCTTCCGCTCCCCCTTTCAAGTTTAGTTTTTTGAATTAAAATTCAAATTTTTATCTTCTAGCGCAAATCGAAATATCACTTTTATCTTACTATGTGGGATAATAGATAATAATGTATTTAATTTATAGCATCTTTGTAACATTCGCATTAATTCAGCTTGCAATTTAAAACAATTATTCTTGCAGTAATAATTTTTTTTCTATAAAATTATCTGTACGTTTCGCTTTGGTTTTGCAGTCTGAATAGTATTTAGATTGCTGTTTTCTTTTTTCTTTTTTTTTTCCCTTTTTTTCTTAATTTTTTTAACATATTTATAACCATTGAGAGAAGACAAGAGAGTAAATTAATAGCTGTTCTAAGCTAGCTTTTCTACCTATTTCGTTGTTATGTCCGATTGGACTGGCGATTAATATGAAAATTTATTTTATTTTTCTTCCGCAGTTGCTTTTGATTTGCTTAATTTAAAATGATTCCCCATTTAATTAACTGTTGATTTTAATGTAGATATCAAATTTCGGGATCCCTTCCCCAAATCTCAAGCTGTAATTAATTGAAAGTGTTTTTCTTTTTTTTTTTTTTTTCTTTTTTAATTTCATTTCGTAATATGAGTTGTAATAGTGTAATTTAACTTGTACACCTTTACATATTATTCTGTCGAATAAAAGCAGCTTCTATTTAATATTTTACAGCTCTTTGGGTATATTATACTAAGTGTTATTAACAACTTTAAAGCGATTTTTCAAATATATTCCAATAACACTATAAATCATTAAATGAATTATCACAAATATTTTAAATATATGCCAAATTAATATTTATTGTTAAGTAGCAATAAATTTCTTACCGATTGCTTTCATTTTTCACTAAATAGCTTAAATAGATTCTTCCGGGAAAACAACAGGGTGCAGCAGCATCTTCCTTTTGTGGGACTTGAGTATGAAACAATTTCTTTAGAAGCAATAGGTATCGACTCGTGTATAAAACTATTTCCTTAGAAACAATAGGTATGGACTTGGGCATGAAACAACTTTCTTTCGGTATGCCTTCGTGGTGTAAAGATTAGCACACTCGGCGCATATTTGAGAAGTACAGGTCCGAGTCCCGGCGAGGGCAACATTTTTTATGTCTCCTGCTTCCAAATAACATAATGACTAACATAATACTTATGAAACAATAGTCCCCCATAAAGCTATCTTTCTCCTTTGACAGATAAATTTTGTGCTTTGTCATTTCATTGCCCACCAGCGGCCGAGCGGTAAAGTCGCTGAACACTGGTAGTTCGGTCCGAGGTCCGAATCCCGCGAACGGGCTGGCTGCATGGGTGTTTTCGTGGTTTTCCCCATGTGTAACGTGTATACGAGCCAGGTTCCTTTAGAAAGTTCTCCACGAAGGCATCCCTTCCCTTAGACAGATAGCCCTCCAGGCTTTGCCGTAATTAAATAACCTAACCATTTTCAAACAAAATAT